CCACGTGGCAGCAGCACCACACAGCCAGGCCGACCGGCCCACAGTGGACAGTCGAGACTGCCAACACGCGCGCGTAGAGCGCCCGACGCGGCGGCGTCGTGCCCCCGGTGCTGGTGATCGCGCTCAACCGGGAAAACAGCCTGAGAACACGCCAAACATGGATTTTAAAGCGCTCGAGAAACCTAAACCGTTGATCCAATTTCCAAACCACCTTTGCTATACCTTAGAGGGTATATTAGGTTACTAAAACAAGCCAAAATACAACACCACTCCATAACTCAATTTCTCTACAAAAATTACCAAACACAGCTTTGTCAATTTATTTTCAGACTTAAGAAATTGACTAAGTCTTGAGTTGGATTTGCTTCAAATTCGATTTCTAAGCTATTAGAAATGTTATCTAGCGTTACTATCTTGTTAAAACAAAAGTTACACTATCTTCTATAAAATATGTACTTTAAACTTTATTAAGGTGTCACATATATGTTTTATAGCACTTTTACTTAATAAAAATTGGTTTCTAACCTTAAGTGATATAACATGCCTATCGAATTCTCTTTATGTATCATTTGTGTTAATCATTTTTTATGCCAAGAAATTTATGTTTGCTCATTCTCACATGCACTAACGCATAATCATGATGCTCATGAAGTGTTATTAGTAGAAAACTTGCACTGTAACACCGAGGGTGTTATAACGTGTTTCTATGACTCAATATCGACCTTTGTAGCTTTTTTGACGCATCATATTAAGCTCCGTAACTTTTTTGTCGATGTGTTAGGGTTGGTCTGTGTGTCAATAATTATGAAGGAGGATCTCTCTTGATTTTTTACATGGCAGCCCTTGTCAGGAATTACATAAATACATTTGTTTAGATTTCATTAGACAATAAGCTGTCCAAGATTCTGGTTCACGAAATAGTCGGTGGTACCATTAACTAATCCATATTTAATAAAAATAAGTTTTATTTTTTTTTACCAAAACTACATCAGATGATGTAAATCTTTCTCCTCAAAACTTAACGCGCAAACAAACATAATAAGTTCTGAAAAGCATGCAACATATGCAAGGATGATTGAACACAATGATGATTTAACACACTTATAGACAAAGCACAACCTCACAAGATTAATAACATCTATGGATAGATCATATTTTTATGAAACTAAAACTGGTTTGGTATTTTTCTAATTTTTCTATGATTTTTGGTGAATTTTGCAAGATCTATCTTTTTATAGAAAAAGAGAAAAAAAGAAAAGAAAAATTGCTTGTATTGCTTGTCTAGCCCATAACGAAGCCGACCCAACTGCAAAGATTCAGCCTAGGTCGAAAAAGAAGCCATCAACAAAGGCCCACTCGAATTTAGATATTTTGCATCAGAAACCCATGTGATGCAACGGGCGGTGATTATTGGAACCACATTGTCATCTTCAGAGTACTAAATTTTAAAATTGCAAATTAAACATGATTGTATTAAATATATGACATGACTTTTTTTTCGAAGTCCAACTCATACATTGTCTTTACGATCCAAGCATGACGAACTTTTTTCATTTTCATTATTCTTTGTGATGCAAGAAGTACATAGGTTTCTGCTATAGACATTTTTTGTGGCAAGCACGTGTAAAATTGTCCACGATTTGGACGAACGCAGTGTTCAACCGCCATTACAAGCCTATAAGCTGATTTATAAGTTACAGTATAGTATTTTTCTCTCCCAATAAATTAACTGTATAAATCAGTACAAGCAGCTTTACAAGAAGCCGAACAGAAGTTACTACATGTAAACAGCTAGAGTCATCATGCAAGCTAGTCGGCTATGGCCTTGTTTAGTTTATTCTCAAAATTTTACACTTTATTCTATCGAATGTTTGACACATGCATGGAGTATTAAATATAGACTAAAAAATAACTAATTGTACAGATTGCGACTACTTTGCGAGATGAATCTTTTAAACCTAATTAGTTCATTATTTGACAATAAAGTGCTACAGTACACATGTGCTAATGACGGATTAATTAGACTTAATAAATTCATCTCGTGGTTTACTAACGGATTCTATAATTTATTTTTTTATTAATATCTGAACACTCCATACGACACCCTAACATAACTCTCCAAAGCTTTACACCCTCAAACTAAAAACTAAAAGACCTATATAAACATCAACTCCTAGAGCACAACAAAACTCTATAGACGTGTCAAGGACTTAAGGCTCTCCAGTTCTTCTCATTAGCTGTTGGTTTCAACCAGGCTTATTCAACCGATACAGCCAGCCCAAACAGCATTAACACCGGCCAGCCAAGGGGTGTGGCTGGTACACGCTGGCGAGACGCGATGAATCAGCAAAGTTCCAGTCAAAGAGGCCAGCGGAAGACCAGGAGCCCATGCCCCTCTGCACCGGGCGCCTGTGCCCAAGGCCACGTTTAGTTTGGTGTCCGATTCGGCGCCTGTAGCCCACATCGTTTTTATTTAGTAATAATTGTTCAAACATTGACTAATTAGGCTTAAAATGTTCGTCTCGTAAAGTACAACCAAATTGTGCAATTATTTTTTGATTTCGTCAACATTTAGTACTCCATACATGTACCACAAATTTAATGTAATTAGGAATCTTTTTTTTCATAGTGTCAAAATTGGGAATTTGGTGGAACAAAACAGGGCCCAATAGTCACAGGCATCACTTGGGGCAGCACACCACTACTCCGTACTCCGTATATGACAGCTGACTGCAACCACACAGCACGCCTAGACCAAGACCACCGCTGTTGATTTAGGATGGCGGTCTGATCTTCCTCGAGATTTGTGTCCCACGCCACTGACCTATGCACCGAGCTCATTCGATCCGAACTCTATGGTCACCTACTCACCTGCACTCCCAGCATCCCTCTCTCCAGTTCTCACATGAGCCCACATCCTACAAAGTGCCAGTGTGTCACACCGCTACAACGCCGAGGTTGACACCCACACCCTAGTCGTTGGGGCCGAGCCGGCGCCGAGCTCCAGCCATGACCACCCACGCGGACGTGGTGCTCTCACTCGTTCCTTCTTCTAGAACACTCCCGCACGATGCACAAGTTCGTTCTCCTTTTCCAGCGAACCTCTCGCAATCCATCCAAATCATAAACGATCGTAAATTCACAGCTGAAACGGTATTTTTCTCTCACACAAATCAGCCAACAGTACTTCTTTACGAACAACAATGATACGAATCAGCCAAGCGAACACGCCGATCCAGAGCCTCAATCTCACCCAGATCTGACTATCTGAGCCGCATCTCTGTTCACATCTCCTTCCCCCGTTCTGTCCCCTTCCTGCTCATCTCCTCCTCATGGCTACCGGCGGCGGGTGCCCTCTTCTTGACCCCACTGGTTATGGGAGGTTGCGTCCACGTCAGGCTGGCCGGCCAGCGATGCTGCCGAGGACGGTGCCCAATCCGGCTCGGACTCCTCCGGCTGGGGCGGGGACGGCGCTGAGCTCTTCGACGTGCCGCGCCTCTTCGTCGGCTTCGCTGGCAAGACGGGGAATCGTCTAGGAATCGGATGTCGCCGCTGGACCCCAGGGTGCTGCTGCTCCGGTCCTCTCCATCGGTGGGCGCGGTCCCGGCGCGCGCACACCTGGCCGCGCGCGTGGTGGGCGGACCGGGACTGGCCTGGCCTAGAGGAGGCAGTGGCGCACCTAGCCGCGCGCGCGGTGGGATGTGACGGCGCGGGTGCCCTGGCCGGCGTGCACGGTGGTAGGTGACGGCGCGTGTTCCTTGGCCACGCGCGCGGTGGACGGACCAGGCCTGGCCTGGCCGAGCGGAGGCAGCGGCGCACGCATCCTGGCCGTCGAGCGCAGAGGTGGCGGCGTAGGCGGGCCTGATTGGCGGCACGGAGGTCACGGCACGGGCGCCCCAGGCGGCCTCGCGACGCTTCCCCGTCTGATGTCCTCTTGGATTCCTTGTTTGGTTTCCTCGATTCGTGTGGATTGAGAAGGAATCGATATTTATTCGGTCTGTTCGGGAGGCCGTATCGTATCGTGGATTATTTACTGCTGGCTGGTTTGGTGTGAGAGAAAACACTGTTCCCGACTGGAAATTTACGATCGTTTACGAGCAAGCGAACAGGCTGATTGATTTTTGGTGATTGCTGTGGAGATCCGCAGAAGAAACCGCAAATTTATTAATTTGATTTTATATATAAGCTGTTGTCCTTCTATAGTTAGTATCCTGCTACCAAACCTCGGGCAGACCCGCTATCCACGTCATCCGATAAGCTCCGAGCCGTTGGATCGAGCGAACTCATGATATGGGCCATCCAATTGCCGATCGGTTCGGGTTTCAACCATTAAGCCGCTAGCACGGGTGTAACATCCTAATGGGCCAAAGTGGGCCCAATTAAAATAAAAAATCTAGTATGGGACGGCGTTACTGTAGCAGAACAAGGCCGGTTACTGTAGCATCCAAAGCGGGTTACTGTAGCGCGGTACTGTTCATCCGAATTGGGCCAGGCCAAATTCGGAACACTGTTCACGGTGGTTATCAGAAGCGTCGCTAAACACCGTGCAACCGAGTTTAGTACCATACTGGAAATCCTCAAATTCACGGATCGACTTAAATATAAGTTGTTGGGGACGCGTAGTAACCTTCGGTTAACCGCTTTGAACGGAAGCGGACGAAAGTTCAAGCGGGTTGTTACGCTGGTTGGACCACTCCTAGGGAAGAGTAAATTTGGGGCCATGTATGTTCGGGATCGGACGCTATAACGGGCGTTCGAGAATCATCAGAAACCGCATGTCCGTCGGCCCTCCACTTGCCACCACACACCGAGCAGGGGCCGCGGGCATGGTGTCCCCGACCACCCGGCATGAAGGGGGCTGGCAGCGAAAACCCCGACACCCCCCACCCCTTCCTACGGAGACCCCGGCGCGGCACCGGCCACTCAATCAAAGCACGGACGGCGAAGGCGTGATCGCAGCACAGAAGCTAGCACCTAGGAGCTAGGTCGCAAGCGGCCACATGGCGGCATGGCGGCCGGCGCGATTTGCACGCGGCCATGGGTGGCGGCGTGGTGCAAGCGCTGCTCGAGGTGGAGGACGGGCAGCGGACGGCGGCGCATCGGCGTGGAGCTGTTCGATGGAATGCCCATTAGGTAAGCAAGCAGGAACCGGGGCGTCGTCGGTGTGGGGCCCGAGCCAGGCGCTGGTGTCGCTGGTCGGCCTTGGCCTCGCCGCCTCCATCGTCGTCCCGCAGCTCTACTGTTACGCCACGGAGGCGCTCAAGGCGGCGGTCGTGTGCCCCGCAGGCGACTACAAATGCGACGCGCGCATGCTCCTCGACCTCCCGGAAGGTGCGCTTCCTTCCCCCTTGCTGCCTCTTTTCTTTTTAGATCCGACGCGATTGGGTTGTCCTTCCGTGCGCTTTTCTATCGGAGAAAATTAAATATTTGACACCCAATCTGGGCGCATATGAACATTTGACATCCAATTCGCGCGTCGTTGAAAATTTAACACTCTGGGCGCGAATTCGTTGAAAACCGGTGTTTTCTCCTCCTTTTCTCCATTTAACATTTTTTTCTTTTTTCTTTTGCTTTCCAAGGCAACACTGAATGACCAAAGTACCATTGGCCTTATCCATCCATTTCTTCTAAGAAATGAACGCATCTCTCTCTCCCGTACTCATTTTTCTTTGGCTCTGTTCGCCATGCCGCCGCCGCTCTTCTTTGTTCTTCAAGCCGCCGCCGCTGGGTGCCGGAAGAGGCATCTTGCATTGGCTGGGCTTGTGAGGCGGTCGCCGCCGGTGCTTGACGAGCCGGCCATGCGTGTCTTGTGTGGACGGTCACTGGTCTTTGGGCTCGGCGCTAATAAAGCTCTGCCATCTTGGCTCACGCCACGATGGAGGCCGTCGGCGTAGTCCAGAGGTGCCGCAATGGTCGAGCAACAGCAGGTGAGGAGGAGCCCGACTACAGAAGTTCAAGATGTGATTTTTTTTGTCTGAACCTGTTGGTAACTCGAACGAGATCATAGCCGACCTGATCCGGCCACCCAAAGCTCCTCCTGCAGTCCGGGGACCAAACCCTAGCATCTTTTGTTCACTCGTGAGAGAGAGAGGAGGCAACGAGAGAAAGAAACATGAGAGAGTGAGGGGAAGGAATGCAATGCTTCTGATCCAGCAGATACATTCCATAAAGAGATAAGGCTAATGGGTACTTTGGTCATTCAACCTTGCCTTGGAAAGCAAAAGAAAAAGAAAAAATGTTAAATGGAGAAAAGGAGGAGAAAACACCTGTTTTCGATAAATTCGCAGCCAGAGTGTCAAATTTTCAACGACGCGCAAATTAGATGTCAAATGTTCACAGCGCCCCAGATTAGGTGTCAAATATTCAATTTTCTCTTTTCTGTTGTCCTTGTTTGTACACGTGCACGTGCTCAAATTTTCAACTCTTATGCAAAATGGCATGGTACTCTAATTTAATCTAACCTTGTCCTCTATTAGCGTGTCATTGATTTCACATGGGCCTGTTTGGATTAGTCCCTGGGAATCTTGCCTGGCGCAAGTGCGACTCCCAGGCCTCCGATTTAGCTTGCCTGGGAGGCATCAATCCAAACAGGCCAGTGGGAAAGCCCTAGCGCAGGTGGGCTTAAAACTGATATCATCGCTGGGCTAGGGCTGAGGTGAGCTTTCGTGGAGAGGCGCGCGGGCTGTAGCTTTGTAGCACTGGCAAGCACAGAAGAAGGGAAGTGGGGATGGCTGCTGGCTGGCTTGCTGCCGTTTAGCACCACCTCACTAGCTGAAGTGGGACGAGCCTGGCGCCGGCTATATGAGAGGGCGGGTGGCAGCTGAAGAAATCACGCAACTGCGTGGTGAGCACAAAGCGAACTATTCTTTCGCCTTTTACTAAAGAATACCGTGTGCACGCCACAAATAGCAGCATATGCTAATTTTTCGAGGGTGCTTTCTCATTTTGAGATGCCCCAACAATGCCAAATTAAATTTTGTATGTAATCAAGTTGTTTTATCAAAATAAAAATATTAAAAATATCTTAGAGTATTCAAGTCCTTTGGTAGCCAATTTTTTTTCTTAAATAAAATTAAACTAACGAGTGCTTTCCCTGCAGTAGTAGATGGGATTGGTTTTCATACATAGTCCCAACAATGGCATTATTTTTTTTTTATAATGTAATCAAGTTCTTATCCTGCTGTAGCAGATAGGATTCATTTGTGCAAGGTCACTTTTAAAATTAATGTAATGTAGTGTTTGCATGGTCTTCTTGTCAATCACTTACTGTACATCTTGCAGGCATTTGTACTTGTACACCAAAATCAGACGAACACCACTGCACAAAGTTTCAGAGTAAGGCACTATCATTGGTTTAAGGCACTAGCATCGGATTAGTGGCTGCATTATTTCATCATCATAATCAGGATACCGAAAGAATGAAAGAATTCTGTATTGACTATATAATAACAGAATAGGGAATAGGTAATTAATGTGCTTGCAAAAAATAACATGAGACAATCCCCTAACCTTCTTCAGTTCCTTCACTCTTTCTTCCTCCCTATCTCGTTTTGATGTCACTGCACCTTATCCCACTTCTCGTGTAGCCAATCCTGAATTTTCCCCTTCTTCATGCAAGTCAAAAAGAAAGAGGAAATAAGAAATTAACAGCCTGTTCATTTCGGCTGAAACGATCGTGGATTATTATTGTTGACTGGTTTGGTGTGAGAGAAAAATATTGTTCTGTCTTATAATCTACGATCGTTTACCGAACAACTGGAAGAAGAAATAAAGAAGAGTACTAATTAGTATTGCTCGTATTGTAACCTACAAGGTTCTGGCTACATATCCTGCAACTTTGAAATAGAGGCTTGAGCGTCCTCCAAAAATATTGGCTTAATCATTACCCTGACCCGTTCTATATCAAGGATGTCTAGATGCTAACCATAGAACAAAAAAAAATTTACTGCCTTTTCCGTTGTCTTCTCTGTTTAGTATTTACTCGTGTTATATGCCACTGTCTTGCATAATAGTTTCAGCTAGCTGGTGATGTGTCCTTTGTTCCTTTTTGTTCTATGTGCATTTTAACATTACGCGCAACTAACGTATCGAAGAAGTGCTGAGAGCCGGACATCACAATAATACCATATCTCAAAGTAGATTTTTATCATTATGCCGTGATATATTATAATTATCTTCGCAATAAACGTAGGGGCCTGATTATGTCTTTGATTGAGACAGACATGACAAAGTAGAGTTAATCAATTTTTGATTACTGTGCTTTAAATGAAACTCGCGCCTTTCCGTGTTTTCAGATTGTGCTAAACACTTCAAAGGGGTCAAGAGTCGCGCATCTGGTGAACAGACAGAAAAAAGTTTCAGAGTTGCTTGTAGAAGAACTAAAGCAGGAGAAGAGGAGGCAACACAAGCCCAGCAAGAGGCTGATGTTAAGTTGCTCGAGGCCCAGAAATTAGCTTCACAGTATCAGAAGGAGGCTGACAAATGCAGCTTAGGCAACACCTGTGAAGAAGCTAGAGAGAAGTCAGCTGTAGCATTGGTCCAACAGAAGAAACTGACTTCTTTGTGAGAGCAAAGGGCTCGGATCAGTATCTCAATGCAACTCCTAGCATTCTTTCCTCAGTTTTTTTTAACATGGGCCAAAGATTTAGGTGGAAACATCATCAGAGACTATATCTACTCACCATGATGCAGATTTAAGTGGATACATCATCTTGAGAGAACTCTAGGTCACTATGGCTCAAAATCTCACACCAAATTCTACACTAGCACAAATCTGGTGTAGGCGTGGCAAAGCCACGCCTATGTTTGTAGTCTGATTTGGGTTTGGATTCAATATCGGTTTGTTGAGACTTGAAATGATAGAATATACCTAAAGACTTAGCCTTAGATAGGAGTGCTTGGAAAACAGCTATTCACGTGTCTGAACTTTGATGGCTTCTGCTGAGTTTCAACTCTAGCCTACTTCAACTTGTTTGGGACTTAAATGCTTTGTTGTTGTTGTTATTGTATTCAGTCTCGGTTTGGAAAATCGTCGGTATAGATTTGGGGGACAGTTCCTGATTCCTGTCCGGGCCGAACACGTCGTGGTTGGCGCCCTAGATGCGCAATACGGGGACACTGCGGGAGGAGGCCGATGCTATGCGGGAGGGGCCTTTAGGATTAATTAGGCTCGACGAAAATCTAAAGCGATCAGAAAATTTGTCTCTTTAGTATTAGGGACAGATAAGGAGATAAGGAGAAATTTTCTCGACCTCGCTTTTCGTTCGTCGTTCCATCCCACTGCAACCCACTTTCTCGTTCGCATCCAACTCTTGTCGTCCACACGTTTTCGATCCAAATTTAACATGGGCCATGTTTCCAATCCAAAGGCAGCAACACACGAGACACGAGACCATGTTTTGAACAACGTGTGTTTAGCCATAATAGAGTCACAATTCACACACGAGACACGAGATCGTGTTTTGAACAACGTGTGTTTAGCCATACTAGAGAGTCCGATTTTAAGACATTAAAATAGATGGCGTAATTGTACGTTACAATTGCAAAGAAAGGCATGTTTGCTATATAAACAATACAAAACATTTGCATTTGCTATATAAACAATACAAAACAAGAATAAATTTTGTTCCCTTACCTTTCTTGTATTAGAAATGGTAGAGTAAAATACGCTGGCGGTCTGTAATCATAGCGTTGTACCATCTAGGTCTTAAACTTACATTTTGTGATCTCTAGGTCCCTAAATTTGTCATAGGCTTAAACACTACTCCAGATGGGGTTCAATCCGCTCCATATGCCGACGTGGCATCCTGACTTAGCGCTAACATGGATTTGACATATTAACTAAGTACTTAAACTTACATGGTGGTGCCATCTGTGTACCTATTTTCTAAATTGCCAATCCAAGTCTAGCAACACAGTTGCCACCACCAACCGGCGGTGACTGACCTCCACAAGACAGCCGAACTTGGCCACTTCCTAGGCCCGATGGCAGCGGACCATGGGTGAGTCGGGCTCCTTTGCCCTGTTCGCTTGACTGATAAGCCATGACTGAAAGTACTGTTGGCTGATTTGTTGTGAGAAAAAAATACTATTCGTTGACTGAAAAAGTACGGCTTATAAGTCAAGCGAACAGGGCACTTGCGCTCGGCCTTGGCAATGGTTGGATCCACTCTTGACCTGTGGCTCATCATCCTTGGCCAATAGCATTTGGATCCGCACTCTGGCAAGGTCTTGTTATACAACAGTGTCGGGACACCAACGATCGAGGGTAGGGAATAGTGCCAGAATGGGCACACGAGTGAGTGGGCAAGAAAATGGCAGAGAGAGAAAATATGTGAGCCTCACGTGTCAAGTGAGTCAGCATCTAAGCAGGTGTTTTCTCGAAAACAAAGGTAATTTAGATATTGTGTGCACCGTTTTGCAAGCTTGGGGATCTGAATTCGCTATTTTGGATCTTAGCCGTGTGGCTCGATTAGTAAGTTTAGAGACCTAGATTTGCAATTTAGAATTTAGAGACCTAGATCACACCAGTGTGCAAGTTTAAGTATTAAGTGGAACATGTTATATCTAGTCAAGGCTGAGTCAACATGCCATGTCATCGAAGTCTATTTTTTATTAGTATATTGGAACCCGTGTCAAGTTTAGGTAGTCAGAATAAAAAGTTAGAAAGTTTGAGATCCAAATGACACATCTCCCAAATTTCAATTTAGAGACCGCCTCTTTGTTTTACTCAAACTATGTATGGTACTTCCTCCGTCCAGAAAACATGCAATTCTAGCACAGTGTCATGGTTTAATATCTCAAGTTTGATTAATTATAGATAAAAAAATATCAATATTTATGATATCAAATAAATATCATTAGATTAATTATGAAATGTATTTTCTTAAAAAATTAATTTAGAGTAATAAATGTGAATAATATTCACTAGAAATTTGGTCAAACGTAAACTACTTTTGGCGGCACGCAACCCATAGTTGCGATTCACTTTCTCCTGCAAAGCAACTCTAGCCAACGTTGCAGTGTCACTGGTCTCCAGGGCCTCATGCAAAGCTTCATTTGCCCTTTGCTTCGCAGCGCCTGGTAACCTTCAGCTCCTTCCACAGCTCTTTCAGCCTCTCCTGCACCCTTTATGGCCATGGTTCATCCAACCACTCCACGAACTGGCACCGATCAACCTCCTCCTGAGTCAAGCATAACAAAATGTTACTAGGAGAGCAAGAACTGTGATTTGAGAACCGTAAGATCAAAGGGACAAATGCTTGGAATACCTCCACTAGGCAACCCAAGAAGCGCCTCCCAGTGTTCTTTCCTCCCCAGCATTTCTTCATGACAGCGTGACGACCATGGTTACACTTCTTAATCCTGAAAACATGCATTCCGCTCCAATCATGCTCATAGACAGCATCAGGGATTGAGGTGTCGCTGTTGCCCTATGGACACAAGGAAAAAAAACTAACATTGGTCAACAAAAGGGGGGACCCAAAATTGGTCAACAATCCACCACAAATGCGCATGTGTGCATCAATCCTAGGGTTTTGCTTGAGAATCCAGCACAAATCCGGACCAATCTTTGCGACCTTGCATGACAAAAATGGGTTTTGGGCATTGTAACTAAAACCCTAGGGGGGGGGGGGGTAGAACGGGAAGGGACCTATACCTGGGATTTGGCCATCTGCTCGCTGTTGTGGTTGTCCGACGAGTCGATCGAGTCCCCATCCTCACTTCTTGTTGAGCGGCTCCTCGGCACAGGACTTGTGGCCGGGAATGGAGCGAGAGCCGAGTGTGAGAGGCAGTGTGAGCCGAGCCACCATTGCAACGGCCAAGCACGGCCTGAGAGCCACCAGTTGCAACGTCGCCCAGAGCTGGCCATGACCGCCAAGGAGAAGGCGGGGGATGGGGGAGGAACACGAGAGGAGAGGGAGCGTCATCAAATGGTGAGGATGAATGAGGTGAGGACGGGTTGAATTTATTAACATGACGGGTAATGGTGGTAACGGGAGATTCAAGAAAAGGCGAAGGGACGGGAGAGGAACACGAGAGGAGAGGGGAGTGGTGAACGAATGAGGGTGAGCGAATGAAGTGAGGACGGGTTGAATTTATTAACACGGACGGGTAATGGTGGTAACGTATCGATTCAAGAAAAGGGTGAAGACACCCTGCACTGTACATCAAACCAAATACACCCTACCTTGGCTCCACTCGAGCTCATGCACCCTACCAAACAAAATCTCAGCTAAATTAGGTCACCCTTAGCAGCCCAACCATTCAAGCCCAATCTAGCCCATGTTGGCTTGATATAAGCATGCCAGAACCAGCCAGCTCCAATCTTAACCCGGCTACGAATTAGCCATGAGACAAACACCCCTTTAAATTCCGTCCCCGTCCCTGAGTTCGTAATTAAAAACCCCGAAACAAACTGTACATGCCATCCTCCTAAAACCCTAGCGCCTTCGTTCCCCAAGCAAGCTAGCCATGACAGCCGCCGCCGCCGCCCCGCTTGACGACGCCAAGGCCAAGAATGTTATCCGCCAGGTTTGACATCTCACACAGTCTCCGATTCGTGCCGTTCCGCCCTCCAATCTGTAGCGATTTCTGTGATCCCAATCGAATATTTTTCCCTCTTTCGTCGCAGGTGGAATTCTATTTTAGCGACAGCAACCTCCCCCGCGACGGGTTCCTACGTAGGACCGTCGAGGAAAGCGAGGATGGGTGTAAGAATCCTCTTGTGTTCATCTCCGATGATCTTGCTGGCTCATGTCGCTCTGGTGCTAATTTTGTGCTGTCTCCTTTTGTGCACGGGGCTGATTGGGCAGTGGCGAGCTTGGCTCTCATCTGTTCCTTCTCGCGGATGAGGTCACACCTAGGTCTCGAAGGGGATGTGAAACCGGATACCGTGCCAGAGGAGACCGTACTTGCAGTTGCTGACGTCTTGCGCCGTTCCACAGCCCTCCGTGTATCAGAGGATGGTAAGCTCGTTTCCTATCCCTTTTCGTCCGTAATTGTTTTGCGAAATTGTGTAGTATTTAGTTAAAGTTGATTTTGAATCTAGACAGTGTAGAAGCTTAATTTCATTCAGAAGAATATGACAATGTTCCATTTCAATTTCCAGCTATGTTCAGTACAATGGCCCTTTCCTGAATTCTGATGAATGTTAGACCTAGCCTTACATTATAAACTATCATTGAATCACCTGGTCACGTACTAATATGGACATTTGCTGCACGGTTCAAATGAAAAAAAAAAATGCTCACTTTAGTTGGGTTGTATCATGACACCAGTAATTTGGTGCTTATATCCTGTATTCTCCACAGGAAAGAAAGTTGGTAGGTCTAAGGAGTTGTTGAAGCCAGATGAGGTTAATGAGCAAGTGGACTCTAGGACAGTTGCTGCATCACCGCTTCCTTACAATGTAAAACTGGAGGAAGTCGAATCTTTTTTTGCTCAGTGTGGCAAGGTATGCTATATGTCTGTTAGCACTGAATGTTGCACCTAATAAAAGGCTGTAATCATCACAGATGTCAGCAGAACTTATATGCAAATAGGAAACTGATACATAAGATAGACAATGTTTCCCATTGCTAGATGATTAGACATTCAATATTGTTATGATTGATAATAGCGCTGGTTCCCTCATCAACCAGGGGTTGTTCCTGTGGCAGCAGGCTTTGACCATGCTGATCATTTTGAGAACTTTGATCTATTCTTGCTTGATTCCTAAACAAAGACTAGGCTGCATTTATAAAAGAGGCCATCTAGCTAACTTAGAGAACTAGGAAACTGACCTCTAGATTTTTCTAATACGAACTGACTAGATAACTTACCTAACTAACTTATGTCTTTCCATAAGGGTGTGATTGGTTCGAGGACAAGGGTGGATGGGATATGGCCATTCATGGATTTCGGGATATGAATATCCATGTTGTCTGTTTGGTTGGATGGATGGGACGAGTCATTTTTCTGTTTGGTTGGATGGATGAGATTGCATGGGATGAGAATACTTGACTAATTATATCTATTATTTAGAAATAATAATAACTAATTATACCCTAATAAATATGCACCGACACTAATCTTGTCATTATAATCACTAATTAAAAATAAAATACGTTAATTAGCACTATACTACTCTAATTGTCACACAAAACATGCGCTAATCAACATGTGGATATCCCCATCCGCCAGATTTCTGAGGGCCAGGATATCCAGCATCTACCCAGAATATTCCCTGTTGTGGATATCTAGGTTCAGCTTGTTCATCCAACCAAACACCCTGTATCCAGGGATATCCATGTCCCATCCATGGATATCCATGGATCCAAACACACCCTAACAGTATTGTAGAAAAATAATCCTTGAGGTTATGCATCAGAGGTCAATATGATAAATTGGTGTATTAGGCCATTACCATTCCAATACTGGATGATCATTAATATTGCAATTTGAATAGTAAATACTGCTAATACTCTTTGTATGTGTACTATTTGCATTACAGGTAAATAGTGTGAGGCTACCTCGACATGTTTCTGACAAAAGGCATTTCTGTGGCACTGCTTTAGTTGAATTTTCAGACGAAGATGAAGCAAAAGGTGTTTTCGAGAAAAATCTCATTTTGCTGGGGCAGATCTGCAAATAAGACCAAAGTAAACAAACTACTAGTTCGATTTATTTTCTTATGAGGTGCCATCTATTAATTAGATAATGCTGTGTTCATGCTTTTGAGTTTCGCCAATGAAGTTGTTCTTTTTATCTTGAAAATGCCCCCTCCGCTGCATTCACTAAAGGATTGGGGAGTTTGAGCAGGTTCTCATTCACAGGCCACTGGCGCACTCCCCAAATATTCTCCTAGTTGTTCTATTGTTTGGTTTTGATGGGAATCTTGCTTTTATGGTTGCAGTTTTTATGCTACAAATGTTAAGCTGTTTGTTCTGGTTGAATGATTCCAAAATCAGCTCCTATTATTTTCAGAATTTGGACTTTAGTGACTTTTTTTTTTACACTTTTGAATTTATCTTTATAACAATATATATCCTGTATCCTATTATGAAATAATGTAGGAAGGAATTTGATACTGAAAGAGAGGCAAAGAAAGAAGCATACGAAAAGTCACATCCTAATAAGAGTCGTCATGGTGAAGGGTAAATACTCTTTATCTAATATGTTTCTTATTTATAATTTCTTTGAGTTTCAATTAACATCATGATACATCAATATTGGTTATAGCTATCCAAAAGGTCTGATTCTGGCCTTCAAGCTGAAGAAAATTGCAGTTGATAGTGAGACAGAAAAAAATGGTGGGGGCAAAGTAGATGACACTGACCTTACCAAGAATGAAGGAGCTTCCGATGCTACAGAGAAATCTAGCGTAGAGAATGAAGAGAAGATCCCTGAGAATAAAGGCAATGTGAGTGAGGAGCAGTCAGATGCCGTTGAGGAATTGAAAGGGGTATCTGCTGGGGAAACTTCACATTCTGTTGACAAGGATGATAAAAGCCCTTCAGACAATGATCAAGATACAATCTCGAGGGAGGATTTAAAAGAAGAATTCACTAAATTTGGCACAGTGCGGGTAATATATATTTACTTTTGCTTCTTTTTCTTTTCTCTGTACCATTAGTGGTCTGTTGATCTTTCACACTTTTTATTTGCATAATGAAACTATATGATACCTGCAAAATGCCATTTTCTTGTGAGATTATTGCATCACCATACTTTCATATTAAACATTATGATAAAACAAGCAGATAAATGAGGAACTTCAAACTTTATGATTTCTTAATATTAATATTGTGTTCATAGTTACATCTGCCTTTCACATTCATTTTGTAATGTGTAACATCTTCACAACCTTAGGAAATACCAGAACAGACAGATTTCTGTTTCTATTTTCTTAATAAAAAGGAGAACAGGAATATTTCATGTTTCCTTTCATCATTTGCAATAAGTAATCACCTACTGTGGTTCGGGTTGTGAAACTATCGAGGCATCATAAGTTTGAGTTTGGTTTATTTTACATATTTTCTGTAGGAAATATTGTGAGAAATGTTGTCTCGTTCATTTTTGCTTGACAGCTCCTATTGAAGTACTCATTGGCTGAAGTGGTAGGATCATAGTTTTATAAATCACAATATCCAGTTCATGTAACTGTCAGCCATGAGGCACAAAAAAAAAACTGTCAGCCATGAATCATGTTATGATTTTGTTTGATCGAGATTTTTGTTGGCTTTGCAAATATTATCTTATCTACTTTAGTTCATTTCAGTTAAATAGAGCACATAACCTGTGACCTAGACAATAATAAGTATAGATCAAAACTGAATTTGATTTAGGTATTTAGCTATGCAGAGACAGTTTAATTTTGGGATGATTTGAATTCTTACTTTAAACTGCCGTTTGTATGCACATATTTGTCTTCACCAAAGGAACATAATGCTGCATCTTGTAAGGGCATTATGCATGCATATGCAATTTTGTATCTCTGTAGCGTAGCATCTGGAAGTTCTTTAAATAGAGTTTCTTTTATCACATAGCATACTTGATACCAGACTGTCTTATTGGCCTTTTTTTTCCCTTCTGAAGTATGTGGACTTCAGCATTGGGGAAGATTCTGGATTCATTCGGTTCGAGGATTCCACAGCAGCTGACAAGGCCCGTGCATTTGCAGCCATTGCAGATGAAGGTGGTTTGACTATGAAAGGCCACATAGTCACTTTGGAACCTGTGTCTGGTAAAGAAACTACAGCTTCTCTCAGTTGACACTAGTTTTCTTAGTTTCTGATCTGATAGCTTCTCTCATCTGGTTTTGTAGTTAAATGTGTGACAGCATGAATCTGAAATAAAATTATTTTGATCCAAATACAAGTGCTATGCTGAATCAGATTGTAAAATACCTTGAAATTAGTTCCATTGATATTCATCATTTTGGTTATGCGTTATGAGCTCACCATATCCAAATGCTATACTCAATCACTTGAATGATAGATAACTTTCCAATCATGCAGGTCAAGCCGAAAAAGATTATTGGAGTGCAATTCGAGGCGGTCAGGAGAAATATAAAGATAGCCGAAACAACAGAGGACGGTATGATCTATTTGCCATGTTTCTTTGTTGGAGTTGTTCCCAGTTCTGTTCTCCCACTGTTAGTCTTTTTTTTTAATCTCATGCACATTCAAGTTTTAAAGAGAAGAAAAGACTAATATTTTACTTAAAACTGTCTGGACTTTTTTGTCTCTTGAATTAAAAAAAAAACGTGACCAACCTAGATGGAAATAAGTGTTTTTCATTTAGAAGTAGGCATCCAAATTCGAGTTGAAGAGGACTCGAACCCGGGTAGTGTGGATGCATGACCCCCACCCTACCAGTTGAGCTAGACTCACTTCCGCTTTCTCTTGAATAATGTTATCATGGAACTGAATTTGCTAACAGTAATATTGACTCCCACCATCAGAACTGATCTTGTATAATTTGCATACTAGAAATATTGTTCTGTACAATCTTGATTTGTTGGAAACTGTACGTAGAAAACTTGCTTGTCATACAGTGCAAAATGCTCCCCCCTTTCCAAAACTTCTTCTCTAACCATGACCAACTTTATAGAGAAACATATTAACATCTACAGTACCAAATAAAATGTACCATCAAGACATTTCATTGTGGATTTAAAGAAACGAGTCTGATTTTATAAACTCGCTCAAAGTTAAAGAAGTTTGACTTAACAAAACGATAACTACTTGCATTTTGAAATGGAGGGAGTAGGATACACCATGCTGCATTTGTTTTGTCGATTTATTCTCCAATGCCACGTCTAGCATTCTCAAACAGTTGTCCAAAAATGATGATGTCGTTCGTTTTGTGCAAACTTTCCAGAGACTGGAAGAATAACAGAGGCGGAAAGCCGTTTGGTGGTGGGAAGCGGGGGCGCCACTTTGACTCCCGTGATAGGGCCTCCAATAAAGCTCAGAAAGTTTAGATGCAATATAGATTTAGTCTCGATATAATGAGGAAAACATAGCTGCGCTGCTTCCGTCTGCATCCATGGAAGCAGCATTTGTTTTTTTTAATGTTTATTTGCTCTTTGTGAGAAGGGTGGACCTGGTGCAATCGGTAGAGTCTTGCCGTCTGTGACCGGAAAGTCTTAGGTTTGAGTCGCGGTCTCCTCGCATTGCACAGGCGAGGGTAAGGCTTGCCATTGACACCCTTTCCTAGACCCCGCACAGAGCCTGCACTGGGTACGCCTGTATTTGCTCTTTGTGAATGTCGGCCTGAACTTTTAAAAGCAGACTGTGAACCATGAGACATGCTGATAATAGCAAAAAGGAGGCCCTTTAAAGTTTATAAGCTACAGAGCTCTGAAGTCAGAACTCTGATACATTTTTTTTGGGGTAAAATAGCAAAGATGGAAGGGTCGTATACAACAGCGACGACTGCAAGAACTCTGATGCTGGTTACATCACGGTGGTAGGAGAAACACCTTCTGATGGTGGTATGATTTCGCATCGTGTGGCCTTTTGCTTTTTTCTTTAGATGAATAGATGATGGATGTCACGGTCTGTGCTTCTCTCAAAGGGTTGCTTCTGATCTCGCTTGGTGTTCAAGGCTTTGAGCATGCGTTGTATTTCCCACAATCTTTTTTGCACGCAAGTCCACTATTTCAGAATTTTAGATTTTATTAGTGGATGCGGTACAGTACCGTTCTGATGGTCTAATTTTTGTAGGGATTCAAAATTCTCTAATCTGAGAGCATAGTTTCAGCACTGTGCGTTTGTTTTACCGTGGACGAAATGCATTGACCATTTGTTTTACCGTCTGTGAAATACCTTTGGACTATGATCGATGTACCACGTTTGGACAACTATATGATCAGGGTCTGTTTGGAATGCATGAAACTTTTCTAGTTTCTGTGTTTTCCTGTGAAATTGAACTATTTTCTATAAAATTCCTGGACAATTCATGCGAATTTCCTGTGTGCCTATGGGTTATGATACGGTTTGCAAAGTATTCCAATCTATATTTGGTATTTTTATTTACATGATTTTGGATTTTGACGATTACCTTTCTTTTAGTGGAAATTTTTGACAGTTAACTAACATTTTATTGGCGCTGCTCGGAAAATTCGGTTAGCAGTCTACACCGCAAAAGAAGGCCCACGAGAGCCCAGCTGCATTCAGCCTAGTTGCCACCCATGTGATGAATGAAACCCTCTCGCGTCTCATCCGCACGGCGCCACCACGCCAGGTGCCATCCACCCGCTCCCGCCGCTCCTCTCGCCTCGCCGCCAAAAATTTTCCCCGGAAATTTTCAAATAATCTCTTCCGTGGCACGGCGGCGCGCGGCGCGCCTCCCCGTCTTCTCCTTCCCTCGCAAGCAAAAGCTTGGGCAGGCGCCAATCCCATCCCGAATTTCGGATTCAAAATCTCCCCCCAATTCCCTTCCGCTCCCCTATAAATCTATCCCGCCGCTGCCCATTCTCTACTCACACAATCCTCACCGAAATCCTCCAATTCCCCGCCCCTCGAATCATCCAACCTCTCCGACGATGCCTTCCGCGCCGGCGCTCGTTCCCGCGTGCGACCTGGAGGAGCCGTTGCTGGCGGAGTCGTCGGACCGCTTCTCCATGTTCCCGATCCGGTACCCGCAGATCTGGGAGTTCTACAAGAAGGCGGTGGCGTCCTTCTGGACCGCCGAGGAGGTGGACCTCTCCGCGGACGCGCGCCACTGGGACGCCGCGCTCTCCCCCGACGAGCGCCACTTCATCTCCCACGTGCTCGCCTTCTTCGCCGCCTCCGACGGCATCGTGCTCGAGAACCTGGCCTCCCGCTTCATGTCCGACGTGCAGGTCGCCGAGGCGCGCGCCTTCTACGGCTTCCAGATCGCCATCGAGAACATCCACTCGGAGATGTACTCGCTGCTGCTGGAGACCTACATCCGCGACGGCGCCGAGAAGGACCGCCTCTTCCGCGCCATCGAGACCGTCCCGGCCGTGCGCCGCAAGGCCGACTGGGCCATGCGCTGGATCGACGGCGGGGAGCGCTTCGCCGAGCGCCTCGTCGCCTTCGCCTGCGTCGAGGGCATCTTCTTCTCGGGCTCCTTCTGCGCCATCTTCTGGCTCAAGAAGCGCGGCCTCATGCCGGGCCTCACCTTCTCCAACGAGCTCATCTCCCGCGACGAGGGCCTCCACTGCGACTTCGCCTGCCTCCTCTACGACCTCCTCCGCGGCAAGCTCGACGAGCCCCGCGTCCGCGAGATCGTCGCCGACGCCGTCGACATCGAGCGCGAGTTCGTCTGCGACGCGCTCCCCGTCGCGCTCGTCGGGATGAACGGCGCGCTCATGAGCCAGTACATCGAGTTCGTCGCCGACCGCCTGCTCATGGCGCTGGGTCACAAGAAGATGTACAACGTCGCCAACCCCTTCGACTGGATGGAGCTCATCTCGCTGCAGGGCAAGACCAACTTCTTTGAGAAGCGCGTCGGGGAGTACCAGAAGGCGTCCGTGATGTCAAGCCTCAGCGGCGGTGCTGCCGCAAACCATATCTTCAGCATCGACGAGGACTTCTAAGTGGACATTTGTGTGATCGCGCGCTTAATTTATTGCTATGATAATAATCTCATGAGTCATAACCTTATTGTGCTTTTTCTTGCATGTTAGATGTAGAGGTAAGGTAATTAGTGTTCTGGATGATGCAAGATGGTGTTTCAGTTGCTATGTTATAGATCCTGTTTGTTTGGTAATAACATCTCAATACAACGGTTGTTCAGCTGCTGCCCTCATTGTGTCTGACGCAATGCCTGTAACTGAATACCCGTACTAACATTTTGAGAAAAAACATTCTTTCCTTGAGACCTTAACCCATCGCATAGTGAGGGGAATTGGTTCTTTAGACTTGTTTAGTTGGACTTTACTTCAAAGATTAACCTATCGTATGGAGCATTAAAGTAAACGAAAAGAAAAAAAATGAGTTTGGTGGAAATTGCGAGACGAACGTTTTAAGGAAAAATAGGCCGCCGACTCATCTCGTCGCTTTGCTTACTTAACCTATCGTATAAGAAAATGAGGTGGAAAAAACAGTGGTATAAACAGTGGTATCAGGGATTCATCCCGTCCTTGTCCCGTTGTTCGAGCGCTCCCTATATACGTATGCACGGCGTACTGTAAAAATTAGATACGTACTGGCTTAGATATAAGTTAGGCCGATATGGATACGGCCCAAACCAGAAAATCGGGCTCAGACTAAGCCCAACCGACGAACTCATCAGTCCACCGCGAGTGCACGGAGGACATGTGTTCCAACTGGGCTCATCAATCCGGCCCAGCCGCTCGACGCTGGTGGAATCCCGGCGCTGGAGGAGACGACGCAGGTCACACAGCCGCAATCGGAGTACAGACCGTGCTCTGCGTGACGCATCCTGGCGCCGGACCCGCAGCCGTCTGCCGGCAACCGGCAGCCGAGGGACAGTTCCCCTTTCCCCAATCTTCCGGTAATCCGGTTCCCCACGATCGAGGCGTAAAGCCACGGCAGAGCGCAAGCCGCTGTGCACGGCGGCGCTCCCGCGCCGGGTCGTGGGGAAATCAGGAAGAGCGGCTGCGGATTTTGGCCCGCGGCGCCAGGAGATTGGGAGTTTAGCGAGTCCACAGTGAAAGACTGGTGGTGGTGGTCGGCCTTTGCCCGCGCTGAATCTGCCCCTGCTTCGCGATGGGAGGCTGCTCCTCTGTATGGGACGGGACTCTGTCTCCGGACAGCTTCAACACCTCCGCGGCGGCGCTGGTCAAGAGGTGGAAGGAGATCGAGGTCGACGATTCCCTTCCTGAGTGGACATGGAAGCCGTGCAGCAAATCGGGGATGCTGTCGGAGGTTTGTATCTTTTTTCTGTATTATTTTCCTGTCTCCTTTTTCTGATTCACCTTGTTGTTTTCTGATTGGGGGCACAGTTGAATATGCTTGTTTGTCTTGCAGGTAGAGGGGTATCTAGCCCTGGAAAGAGTGTACCGCAGTTGTGGAAGAAGCCAGGTGGATGGTTTCCTGTCCTTCTGTAATTCTGTATAAATATGACAAGTGATATGATGTCTGCAATAGGTGATATTCAAGCTTGCATTTAACTAGCAGAATGTTCCTCCAGGAGCAGATTGAGGAGTTGGAAAAGTTCGATGATGCAGGGGATGTAGCTTGGGTAAATGCTTCTGTGACCTGCTTATTGATAAATTAGCCAAGTCTGATCTTCAGCTGTTGTCATATCTTCATCTCACCCCTGCACAACAATTAGAGTTTTTTTTTGACATATAAAGGCAGCAGCTCTAATTGGGTGATGATTCTGGGACATAGGGTTTTGTACTGAATTTTTGGGACAAGACTTGACTCCTATTGATCATATTAGCACACTTCACACAACTCGAGCTCTGAAGTCATGTTCATGATTCATTCTCTTTGCAGGTCGAGAACTCTAGTGACAATGTTCATGTTTATGATTTCCATGTTGTCTACAGCTTCTCCTACAAAGTCCCAGTGCTATACTTTCGGGGTTATCACACTAGTAAGTATATTTGAGAACACAAGTGAATTTTATTACCTTGTATTGGTTTCTACTTAGCAGCAAACATCTGAAACCTGTACTTATTAGGTGGGCAGCTACTAACTCTAGATGAGGTAAAGGAGGGGCTTCCTTCTCACTCCCAGAAAGTATTAAGTGAATCAAAGTGGACCTTTATTACTCAAGAGGTATTACTGGTTCATACATGATTCTTGATTTCTATTGAAACAAAATTTGGCTCGAGTCTTGACAATGAAACATAAAATGAACTCTGTCTGTCGTTCACTAATTTGGCAAGGACTGTGTTCTACCTGTACTTGGAATCCTGCAGGAGCATCCCCATCTAAGCAAGCCGTGGTTGACCCTGCACCCCTGTGCAACCAGTGATTGGATGAAGCTACTTCTCGAAGAAACTAAAGCGACAGATAAGGAGCGCTCGCTGCAATATTTACCGGCATGGTTATCCGTGGTGGGCCAGGCAGTAGGACTGAAAATCCCTCTGGAGCTTCATTCCAACTCATAGTTTTTTCACCTTTTTATCTGTGATTGGCCAGGCAGTGAGATTGAAAATCCTTAATGAGCTTCATTGCAACTTAAGTTTCTCCATCCCTTTTCACTTTCAGTATGAAAGAGAGTCCTTAGCTTGTGTTTGGTGATAATAGGTCACCAGTATTTGATATTTCTGACACTGGCTAGACCTGCCATTGTGTAATTGTTGTGGTGAGTATAGATACTTTCATTCAATTTGCTAGCGTTTCTGTTAGACACCCTCGGGTATGAAACACTAGCGTTTTAGGAAATTTATTTACTCTTGGTGTGTTTCTGGGATGGACTCGCAAGTTAACAATGGGATCGCAAAATAGGAAAAAGTCCATTTTGCTTCCCTCAACAATCACGAAAGTCAGCTTTTCCTCCCTCAACTCTAAAACCAGACGTAGTTCCTCCCTTGTCTCTCAAAGCCAGTCACTTTATCTCCATGGCTGTTTCCAATGGTGGTTTTTCTTTTTTTCTTTTATGTTTATTTTGGCTAAATATTTGAAAAATCATAGTAAATCACAAAAAATTATAAAATGGAAAATTCAATTGTGTTGGACTCCTAGATTTACACAATGAACATATGATATGATATGCTTTAGTACACAGTTTTTGCTGTAACCTTAGATCTATGTTTTTATATAATGAATTAATAGCTGCAGTTTCTCGTCCAATTATGGTGAAACTTTTATGGTTGATTAATCGTTGCATTCTTGAGACTTAGAAATTTTTTTCATGTTCATTAGATCATATATGACTTAGTTATAGATTTATCTATTAATTTATCTAGGTTTATATAGATAAAACTATAACTCAGTCATGCAGATCCAATGAGCATGAATTTTTTTGCTACATCTCAAGAATTCAATGATTAGCCCACCATAAAAATTTCACTATAATTGGACCACAGAAACTGGAGCTATGAATTAATTATAGAAAAATATAGATCTAAAGCTACAGCAAAAACTTTGTACTAAAACATACTATATCATACGTTTATTGTGTAGATCTACTCATGTGGAGTCTAACAAAAATTTCATGCTCATTGGATCATGTATGACTGAGTTGTAGATTTAATTTCATTTAAAAACTATTTAACAAACATAAAACTAGATAAATCCATAAATCAATCATGCATTATTCAATGGGTATAAAATTTTTACTACAGCTCAAGCATGCAATTATTAGACCACCATAAAAATTTCACCGCAATTGGATCAGAGAATCAACAACTATGAATTAATTACAAGAAAACATAAATATAAAGTTACAACAAAAAGTTTATCCTAAAGCATATCATATCATATGTTCACTGTGTAGATCTAATCATATAGAGTCTAACACAATTGGATTTTTCATTTTATGATTTTTTGTGATTTACTATGATTTTTCCAAAGATTCGGCCAAAATAAACATAAAAGAAAAAAAAAGAAAAATCACCAATAGAAATAGCCATGAAGGTCAAGTGATCGGTTTTGAGAGACGATGGAGGAACTATGTTTGATTTTAGAGTTGAAGGAGGAAAAACTGATTTTCACGATAATTGAGGGAGGCAAAATGAATTTTTTCCCGCAAAATATTTAGTGGCATTTGGCGGATAAATGCTCGATGTCGCCGTGTATTTTCTGGGCCATGTTCGGTATTGACACTACTGGCAGATCCCGCACCCAGTTCTAGGCCAGCATCCAGCATTGGGTCAATTCAAAAGGTCAATGCTGCTTACCTGATGTTCGGATGGACGGACGCTTCCTCCAACCGTAGACCGCACAAAATATATTGGCCCGCCCACGGAACAACACGGCAGGCTGCTGGGCGTTTTCATCCGCTCAAGAACATTTCAGACGCAATTTAGGCCCTGTTGCCCCCCTACTCTCCCTTCCTCTCTGTCTTCCCTGCACGCGCTTCGCAAGTCTTCCGCTTCGTATATCCTCTGCTCCTTTCTCCCCATCTCTATTTGCCGTTTTTCGCTCCTCTGCCACCATCCCGCGCTGCCATCCACCTCGCTCGTCGCCGAAGGGGAAGGCAGGGGAGGCCTGCGCCTGCGCCCCCATCCATCTCACCCGTCGGCAAGAAGGGGAGGCTTGCGCGTGCGCCTACGCCTGGGTCTACGCTGGGTCGTTGCTCTCAAAGCCCCCCTGACCCGAGCTTGTTGACGAAGGGGAGGCTTGCGCGTGCGCCTACGCCTGGGTCTACGCTGGGTCGTTGCTCTCGAAGCCCCCTGACCCGAGCTTGTTGGCTACTAGAGTTTCTCACCAGGTAGGCCGTGGCCATCGGCGACGCTATGTTTCGAGTGTTTTAGACGTTTCGTACCGATGTTTTAAGTGTTTCGTCTGAATGTTGCAAAAGTAGATCTGGGGTGTTGCATTGCATATGTTGCAATGATAATATACGCATGTTGCAAACATATGTGTTTCAAGTGTTTCAGTTTGTTTTCATACGTACGTTTGAAGTGTTTTCATCTGGATGTTGCAGAAATATATTTGGATGTCGCATAACATGCATGTTTCAAGCGTATGTTTCAAGTGTTTCAGGTGTTTCATATGTATGTTTTGCAAAAGTAGATCTCGATGTTGCATACGTTGCTATGGCTATATACGCATGTTTGAAGCGTATATTTCAACACGCTTCCTATAATCCAGGTGACCAAAACGATTGACTGCTTCAGGCGACGCGCTCCCTCTCTCCCCATGCCGCTCCCTCTCTCCCCAAGGCGCTGGATGGAGACTGCACGGATGAGCTCGTTGCCTGAACGAAACTCAGTTTTCAGGCACCTATGTTATAGCATCTCCCATATTTCAAGTGTTTCATTTGTTTTCAGTCTTATGTTGTAAGTGTTTGAACTGAATGTTTCAAAAATAGATCTGGTGAGCACATGCTATAATGGCCCCGGTGGCTGGCGGACAGCGGTCTGTTATAGCCGCCTGTTGCTCATGCTAGGGTGCCGGCCTAGGTCACCGTGTAGGCGCCTGAGGCCAGTAGCCGCGTGCGCAGACAGGTGAGGCGTGTACGGTGGGCGCGCACAGCGCGGCGGGGTGACAATCCTCTTGTTAAACAGGCGCGCTTCTGTTACACGGGGATAGGATAGGGCATGGTAGATGCGTTTGAACGGGAGCAGCGTCCGGACATCTCCATTGGCCGGACGTCCGACGTCCTTCCGAATTCGTAAGCCCCCAAAAAAAGATTCCCGTGGTGAGACTCAGATACGTGCATTTTCATTTGTCTCGCTATGCGCAGCCCAGGCTTAGCAAGTGGTACTCCACTAGACACTGTAAACATGAGTTGCTGATCTTGCGTAATTGCATTGTGACTCCCATCAGTTGTGGAGTAATCTCCTGGTTTAATCTTGCTCTTGAGCCAAGGAAGTAAGAATTTCTCTATTTTTACTTGAGTGATGATGTCAGGATAAGCTCTGTTTCGCTGGATAAGATTTAGAATAATATAACCCAGTGTCCACCAATCGAGCTACCCAAAGGTCCGATCCGATGAGATCTCTCAAGGCTTCCACGCGGGTGGCGGAGGTGGCGTGGCCGGGAACAGCGGCGGCACGGCGGAGAATATGCTGTTCTTGTCGACGGTGCCGACGCCGACGCCACGGCCACTGCTGGTGATGGCCACCAGCGCCGCCACGAGGCCGGCGTTGCCCACCAGCGTCGGCTCGGTCTGCCCGAAGGCCATGCGCGAGTCGTTGAACCTGTCGTTGCGGTCCGGCCCGCCCACCATCGCGCCCGTGATCACGTTCGGGTTCGCCTTCTTGGTGTCGCGCCACTTGTACCCGCCGGTGCACGAGTACTTGACGCGGTTGTGCGGCGTCGACGCGCCCCGGTGGTGCACGTGCCGCGGGTACTTGTTGCCGAAGCCCACCACGTAGCTCATCTTCCTCGGGTTGTCCCCAAGAATGTAGTTGACCTGCTCAATCATGGAACAGATCACATACGCCATTGTCAGAATCAGAAACTAGCTAGAGAACGCCACCATGCTCCAAACAATCAGGTAACTTTCCGGCTGACGTCAATTACCTGAGACTTGGCGAACGCACGGAGGTCCTCGTTGGGCATGAAGTTGGGTCCGCAGTTCCACCCGGGGACGTTGATCGCCTCCATGTAGTCGGCGAAGAGAGCGGCGAGGAAGGAGTTGGTGACCACGTACTGCAGCGGCTGCCCCCTGCCGTGGTTGAAGAGCGCCAGCCCACCCCTGGTGAAGTTGAAGGCCCTGAAGCGCCGGAAGTACTTGCACATGTCCAGGCCAGTCTCCTTGTGGTAGCGGAGGAGGGACTGCTCGTAGGGGTAGCCGGGGTTGAGGAACATAAGCAGCCGCGACAGGAGCAGGCCGGCGCCGGGGAGCTTGTTGTCCCAGCTGAACACGGACAAGTCGAGGACGTCGTAGAAGGCCTTGGCGCGCTCCGCGAGCTGAGGGTCGGTGGCGAAGCTCACGTAGCTGGTGTTGCCGGTGGCGTAGTACATCCACGCGGCGCCCCAGACGTACTCGTCCCAGTAGCTGGTGGAGTTGTAGAAGGGCTCGATCTCCTGCTGGTGCCTGGAGTAGGTGGCGTGCTCGCTGGCCCAGTCGCGGGTGGCGAACTCGAACATGGTGGCCGCGCCGTGCACGAGCTTCTTGGAGTAGGCGTCGTCGTCGCGGAACGCGATGGAGGCGGCCGCCAGGGCCGCGGCGATCTCCCCTCCGAGGTCGGGAGCCGAGCTCACCGGCAGGGACGGACGAGGGTACGCCATGTCCTCCGGCCGGTTCCAGCAGTAGTGGTCGTCCGGCGTCCTGCTCTTGATCTTTGCCACACCTACCTGCAGCAAAGTACGAACCAGATCAATACTTGACACAGAAGATCGTGACGACCTAAATTT